CCCCACACTGCTGCGAGAGGAAGCTTTCTAAAACACAGGTCTAATGATTTAATGATAGTCCAAACCCCTACCTTGGCATTAAGGTCTTCACAACATATCCACAATGTGACCTGTCAGCTCCAACACTACTACCCCTACCACACATAAGTTCACATAATGGCCTACCAAGTCCAGGCTATTGGGCAATTATAACATCTTCCTGAAGTGCCATCCTTCCTCTTATCTGCCTGGTAAACTCTCACCCAGCTCTCAAAACCCTGTTTATATTTTTTATTTTAAGTTCTGGGATACATGTGCAGAATGTGAAGGTTTGTGATATAGGTATACACGTGCCATGGTTCAAAACCCTGTTTAAATGTCAATTCCTAGATGAGTTTTCATCAATTCCCAAAGGCAAACCTGGTAGTTCCCTCCTCTGCAATCCTACAGCATTTTATTCAGTATCTTTGTCATAGAAAAAACAAAAAACAGAAAGCATTAAAATGTATCACAAGTGTATCTGTCACATTGCTAATAAATAAAAATAAATAAATAAATAAATAAATAAATAAAAATAAAGTTCCTGAATGACAAGGTCACAACATACTAATCAGAATATCCTCTCAATGTACTTTGCCAGGTACCTGGCTCAGAGTTGGTACTCAATTAATGCTCATCGAATGAAATGTTCTTGCTGTCTCCATTTTTCTGAACAACATTCATGTTTCTTCCCAAAGCAATCTGGCCCTGCCTCAGTTACGCTGCTAAAACTCCTGTCCTGAAAACTACCATTGTATATGGGAATTAGGGGTAGCAGTTGATATTTGCCTTGAAAAGGATAAAAGAAACACAGGATGTTTCACTATTAATTAGTTCAGGTTTAGTTATAAAAGCACATTTTGGGTTAGAATATGTTGCTTTGCATCTATTTTGTATTAGTCAACACCTGGCTGTGATAATATTTTAGTTCTTAAATATCGCTCATCTTTGTAACCCTCAGCAATAAAGCAGTTGAACCAATAATGATCATTTTCTCTGCTTCACTGGCTGGGTCTTAGGAGAAAATAAGCCAGTGAGCGGGAGGCCAGCCCCTCCGATGCAAGGGAAGATGTGCCAGCATGCTGCTTGTTCTGCTCTAATGGGCTAGAGTCAGGGTAGGGCTGAGCTGAAAATGGTTGCACATCTTTCCTGCCTAGGGGTAATCTTAGAACCATACTTGCCCCCCTCAACAACCACTGGACAGAAGCTAAGTCAGAGGGCCCACTTCCACAGCATCCACTCTAAGCCACAGCAAATGGGAAGGGAGAAGGCCTGATGTCCTGGAAAACCCCGCCTTGTGAACAGAGGCTGGAAATCTGGAGGACACATTTTCACTTCATTCAGTACGAAGGCTTAAAAACTTCCTAGTCTGGCTCATTGTGTTTACTGTGCTCACTATGTTCATCTTAAGAGCTGTTTGCAGCAGCCAATAACTCTTCATTGCCAGCCTCTACTGCAAGACTGTGGCACCTGAAAGCTATACATCCCTTCCTTCTTCCAGCCAGTTCCAGGCTGCTCCCCTTTCTCCTGGCTGCTCCTTTCTCTGGCCTCTCCTCTATCTCCTTAATGATTCCTCCTCCACCACCAGCCCCATAAATAGTATTCAGCAGGAAACCATTCTCTCCCGCATTAAGGTCATTGGCAATGTTGTCTTAAACAAGACGGCTTCCAAATCTCTGGGCATTTCAGCTCGAATGGGGAATAGCCCATTGGCACTCCTCTTTGATTGTCCCCAATGACCTCAAAATGAGAGGGTCTCAAACTAAACATTTTCATCTTTCTCCCTCCTGCTAAAATCTATATTCTGCCTTACCTAATTCAACGAACTGCCGTTCTTTCATTAATTGGTCCCTTCCTCCCCACTCTAAGCTAATCAATGAGCAAATCCTTGCTGACTCTACCTGTGGAGTAGCTCTTGAAATCCATTCCTTCTCTCCACTGCTTTAGGCAGGGCTTTACCCTGTAACATGTTCTCCCTGCTTGAAGTCTCTTTCTTTACACTTGTCTTATGGCCACTGATACTTGGTATCTAGACTGGCAATCTACCCATTTGTAAGAATTTCTCCATACTAGACTATAACTTCCTTGGATAGAGAAACCTTGTCTCTCTCTTTTGTCCTATTATCCTTGTGACAATACTGTGCTTTACACACAGTAAGTGCTTAATAAATAGACTTTGGCAATAGAGAACAGATTATCTTAAAGTGACTGCCGTTGTTCTTCCAAAGAGCAGATCATTACATAATTAAATATTTACTCTAACTTATTCTGGCCCAATTAACAATGTTATATATACACACAGACCACACACACAGATATACACACACACTGTATGCCCTTAGATACCTTTAAGTCAATCTTTTAGCAAACACAAAGAGAGGCTCAATCACCCAAATAATTAAAACATAAATTGGGTTGTATTTTTGTTCCTGGTCTTCCTTGAGGAAAATGACACAATGCTTAGTAGCAAATGAGAAATTATTTTGCAAATCTATATCCTCAAAATGCCACCAAACATGGGTCATGCATCCTGCTTTCTTGCATTTTGATCCTATTGCTATGACTTAGTGTGGTAATTATATTACAAAGCTATTATTCGATGAAATGAAAATGGCAAAACAATTTAAATGCTTGTCTAAAAAGACTCTGTTAGAATGCAATTATGAGTGAAAACACAATGGCAAAATAATTGAAATGCAAGTCTGGAAGGCACAGTTATGAAAGCATTAAAATGCTCCTGTTGGGGACTCACAACACTGAGTGAAACTATACACTCCTGGGGACACATTTTTAATTCACTAACGCAGGCAACATTTATGGGCAGATGAGAGTATCTGTGCTCCAATTGTTCTGCAGCATTATCTACACTTCTAAATGCCACCCGGGGGTAGGTAACATCACCAGGGTTTCTGGGTTTGGAGGATGGTTTGATAAGAGAACCATATGTCATACTGTGTTTTCATACAGCACCAGGAAGATAAAGGCACAGGGCAAATTGGGCTTAGATTTTTCTGCAGTATTTCCAGTATAAACGGTAGGATCATAACATTAAAATATTTTTATTCTAAATATAAGCTGGCAATTATTAAATATTTATGTGGGTATATTTCTAAGGGTCTATCTTCTTGACACATTCTGCTGATATATTTCTTTAGCAAAATCTCAATACATATTTTGATGTCTAGGCTTATAGTTGTATACACTTGCTCACCAAAAGAAAAAAAACAAAAATGCAATACAGTGCTAGATACAAAATCAATCTGCTGAGATGATCAATTTGATGAATGACCAAGGACCCTCCTCTGAAGCGTGGTGATGTCTGCATTTGATAGTGGAACACACAAATGAGTGTACCAGCAAAATATGCAAAATATGCTCCTGACTCCCACCCCTTCAACCTACACAATCTACTTTCATGGATCCATTTCTTTTAGCTAAGCATAAAGAAACGAATACTAGGAGTGGGTCATATAAAAGAAACAAGTGTTAAACGAATAAAAAGATGTATATCGTTTTCTCATTCATGATAGTCTCTCTTGTGTTGTCATAGAGCAAGTTAGGATATGGCATTTAATTTTAATCACTCAGAAAATTTCTCAGCATCAATGACAACAACATTACTTAATAAATTTACTAGGTTTCCACAAAAAGAATTGTATACTTTTGTTTTTGAAGATTTAAAGAAGTCCCTTGGAAATGCAGATACAAAGTATTCTTACTTTCTTTCACAGACTCTGAAACACATAAAGATTTAATATGCACATAAACGTGTTTTCTTTTTTTTTTTTTTTTTTTGAGACGGAGTCTCGCTCTGTCGCCCAGGCTGGAGTGCAGTGGCGCAATCTCGGCTCACTGCAAGCTCCGCCTCCCGGGTTCACGCCATTCTCCTACCTCAGCCTCCCCAGTAGCTGGGACTACAGGCGCCCGCCACTGCGCCCGGCTAATTTTTTCTATTTTTAGTAGAGACGGGGTTTCACCATGATCTCGATCTCCTGACCTTGTGATCCGCCCGCCTCGGCCTCCCAAAGTGCTGGGATTACAGGCGTGAGCCACCGCGCCCGGCCATAAACGTGTTTTCTGAGGCAGGATTTGCAAAAGCAGTTTGGAAATCCTCCTGATTTTATATACCAAGTGTTTGCTGTGGATCCTTAAACTGCTGAGAGGATATTTCACTGCATGCTTGCTTCTTGCCTACTTATTTTCCCTTGCACAAACTCAGAGAGTGTTAACTATAGCTTTGTAAAAATATAAACCTGAGTGCATGGTAACTTCAAAACAAAAATCAAATCTGCTGTATAGATATTTTATAGAGAGGTTATATTATTAACACACACATTTAAATACTTATATGATTCAAAATAATATAAAGAAGTTTTTCTAGTTTGGACACAAAGTTACACACCTTGAAAAAGATTTAAAAATCACCTATAGAAAATTATACGAATAAGGCTAGTTGAAAATCTAAGCAAACATACACATAGATAATAGAAACAATTAAAGTTATCAAGTTCCTAAAATAAACTACTGTATTACACATAAAATTTGACATTTGAAATCACATTTGTCAGAGTTTTACAGAACTAATCTCTGTATTTAGAAAAGTGTTAAATATAACAGCATTACTAACTTCCAAGAGAGTAGCTTTGGAATTTAATAAAGGAGAAATCAATGCAACTATGACAAAAATATAAGTTAGAACATACTATAACTTACTTTGAAATGCATAAAAATAAATTGGGTTGATGGATGGATGATAAAGAAAATATAGTAAATGTTAACTATAGAACCTAGGTGGTAGGTATACACAGGTGTTCACTATACAATTATTTTGATTCTTTTGTATGCTTAAAATTTTTTGTAATAAAAAATTTGTTAGAAAAAATGCAGTGCTCTAGATGAAAAGCATTTATTCTCTATGTTGATAACTTTGCTTAACAAATAAGCCAGTTTCAGAGTTGGTCTCATGGATACCACACACTCACCTAGCCATCCAGATCCTGAATTTGGGATGCAGAGGTCTGTCTCAGCACTGGGTAACACGAAGCCAACGACAAACACCTCTACACCATCTGCCATAAGAGCCATGCCCAGGACGAAGAAAAGGGCCCATTGAAAACGACCATGACCGCATTCTTGGATTATCAGCTCATACTGCTGAGCTAGCTCTTCCTCGTCAGCTCTTCTTTCTGATTCCAGCTCCTGCCGGTCCTTGTACTCATCGCCCTTGGGCTGCCCCACTGACACGATGCTGTCCTTTGCTTGGTTCATACTGGGGATGCCCTGATACTCCCCCTCATAGATCTCATCATCTTCATCATGGCCCTCAGTGGCTTCACTTGAGCCTTCATCATCGTTGGCCTCCCCATTATAGGTTTCTCCAGCCGGGTAGTAATCATCATCGTCTTCTTCATCTTGGAACCGACTGTAAGACCTCTGGGTGTATTCATCCTGGGCTCGGTCCACGGCTTGATTCACCTTCTTTACTGTTTGTTTCTTCACCTCTCTGGCAATGTCCTTGGCACCCTTCATCAGTGAAGTCCTATCCTTGTAAGAGTCTTCCATCTTTTCTCGACTGATGGCCAAAGAGAAGATGGGAATTTTTCACAGCCTCAGTGGTTCAGCTCTGACGGCATCATCCACTTTGGGTTCAAAACAGAACTGCAAAAGAAGAAACAGAGGAGATATTCATTATTCCTTTCCATATATTTTTCTTCTATCTATTTCTTGGCCTCTTTTCATTGCCCCACAAACTACAACACAAAATTAGTTTTTCCTTTTTTTTTTTTTTGATCTCACTGTATACACATGTATACCCTATGCTGCTTCTCTGCTTAAGTGTGAATGTCACTTGGAGTATTTAGGGTTTTCACTGCTATCATTATTATTTTGTTTTAAGGAATTCTATCCCCAGGGTAACAGTACACGGGAATTCCCCTGAGAATAAAACAGAGCATTTTGCATCTTTAAAAGTACACCCAACACATTTTGAAATTGCTATAAGCATATACCTTGATTGAGAAAAACAGTATTGCTCACAGACACAAACAAATATTGCAAAGGCAAAACCAGAATATTAGAAGAATCCTACTGGGCCTATTTCCTCACATTGAAAAGCAAGCAGCCCCATATACAATTACTATCAAACTATAGCTATGTTTGTAAAATTGGATTTCCCCCCTACTTAACATTGTATTTCCTTCTAACAAATTTTAACAGAGACTCACATGGCACCCCAAACAGACAAGGAGTATATTCCCCTAGTATAGTGTCATATCCATAGGATCGTCACAGTTCATCAAATGATTTTACAGATGCATTTGATATTGAATTAGAACATATTGTTGTTCGGTGGGAGGAGTCTGCCCTTTCAGAAACTACCCCCAGGTCATCACGGACAGGTAAGCTCCACGCCATGTACCTCCACAACCCCACTTCTATTTTCTTCATCTCTGGATACCCAGTACACACACACTCTCTCTCTCCCTCCCTCCCACCTCCTCCAGCTGCCACTCTGGTTAGCTGCTGTTTTGGTAGTAAAGTCTGGACCTTTCATGACCTGTTATTTGGTTTTCTTTTTCACTGATAGCCCCCTCATGCCTTGGTTCCTTGAATTCAGGCTGACCTCTTGGCAACTTGTATTCCATTTGTCCACTCAGCTGCCTCTTCTGGTGGCTCATGTGAGTCATCGTCAGGTTCATCCTTGTATACAGATGATACGGAGGTTAAAAAAGTCTTTCTCCCCCATCATTAACTCCCCAAGCCTTAAGCTACGGCAGCATTCCAAACATTGATTTATATAATCGCCATTTCTACTTTTTCATTTTGTACCTAGTTTAAAATATTTAAAGTGGCTATTACTAACATACATTTAACTACTCATCCAAATGCCACAATCAAACCCAGCAATAAAGACAAACAGATGTTTGTTTATAAATGGACCTTGCTTCATTCCCACTGAATACCCACAAATGCCCAGTAGGCAAAACAGGAGTATGACTCTCACAGACCTGTGTTTTGGAAGATGATAAAATGAAATTAAAATAAACATGTGATTGCAAGGTTTACAACCAAATGTTTTAGTAAACGATTTTTCTGTTTGTCTTCCCTTTTTTAAAAAAAAAAAAAAAGTAAGAGGAAGAGAAAGGGAGGAAGAGAGTGATGGGAGAATCTATGAGAAAAGTAAGAAAAAATGGAAAGGTGGTAACAAAGGAGGCTGAGGATGGGGTGCTCAGAAACTCAAGAAGTCAGGGAAAAGGGGCAGGGAGGACAATGATGGAATTAAGAGACATTCCCTACTTTAAAAATTAACAGACAATCAGAATATTTCTCAGTATAAATAAAATAAACTGCCATCCTATCCATTGAACGGATGATCACATCAGACACTGCACATCAGCTGCTTCCTGTACCCAATCAGCCCCAGAAACACCATTAAGTGAGCTCCAAAGACCGTTTCGTTGAAAGCAGAGTCTGCCAACAACCGTACGGCACCACCCCAGTGCCTTTCATAATGGAAAGCTTCTGCCATAGCTGTTTCTGAGAAATTGTACATCAACTGACTGTGTATGGCTTTTTTGCTTTTGTCCTCAGCCACAGGTATCCTTACCAAATGCTTTACAGGGTTTTCATCCCTAAAGAGGTCCTTGTATAGGAGCCACCTCTGTAAGAGGCAAGAGGTATGATATCTTACATGTCATGGTTATGACTGGAAAAGTGGACAATTCTAACCCCCTAAGTAATCTAAGCATTTGAGCAATGAGAAATAAAATAAAATAAAAATTTTACAATTAAACATTCCAATTTTGAAAAAATTCTTATAGAAATCTTTGTTTTAATTCTGGGACAGAACAAAGCAATGTGCACATATAAGTTCTTTTTGTGTCTCAAGATTTCTCATCCCCCAAATCGAAGCTCAAGTAAGTTCCTTGAGGGAAGAGACTTGTTCTTTAGTTTGTAGTCTTACTAAAGCAAAGAAGATTTTTCTTTGCTCTTTCATAGACAGGAAATATGAACACTTATTCAAAAATGCTATATAAAATTAGATGTTTGCAGATATCGCCTTTGGGGTAAGCTGGTGAAGGGTACAGGGGTCTCTCTGAATTATTCCTTACAACTACATGTGAATCTACAATGATTTCAAAATACAGAGTTAAACCCAAACCCCAAGTCTGTACTATCTCTATAAAGCCATCTTGGAATATGTGCAGGATGATTGGCTGGGGGCAGATGATTCAGGGGCAGAGTTATAATTCTGCAGCTATTATCTCCCTCTGGTAAATGGAAAAAAGGAAAAAGCTTGGCTCATTCCAGATATTGCCAGGAAAATGGCAGATTGATATCTACACGGGAAGGTCATGCTTGAATTAAAGCAGCAATTCTCAAAGGTGGGGCTTACACACCAGGTGTGGCCTATAAGTAGGTCCGCGAGCAGCTGTTTATAGTATCATCCATGTTTACTTTTGTTTCTCGAATAAATTACAGAGTTTCACCACATAATATGTGTGGGACTTTGTTTCAATGAAAAACAAAACAAACCACCTTGATTTGGTGCTTACTATGTGTGAGGCATTGTGCTAAAAACTTCCTGTACATCCTTTTATTCTTTTATTTAATCTTTACTTCAATCCTACAAAATAGATATTATAGTCCTCCGTTTTGCAGATGAAAAAATTAAGGCTTAGAGAGATGAAATAGCCCAAAGTCACAAAGCTTGTTAGAGGAGATGCTGGACTCAAGCTCAGATGTGTCTGACCCCAAAGTCTTACCCCTTATGTTCATCTGCCTCACACAGTGGTCTCACTAAAGTCTTATTAAATGAGGTGGCCTTCTTCCTAGTCATTTCAGTATTTCAGTAACTTTTTTTCCTACACTAGAATGGTTTTATACCTGCTTCTCTAAATTGTCTTTTACATCCTGAAGTAAAGAGAATTGCTGTGAGGCCTTTAATCAGTGATGAGCTTTATATGGGTAATAATTTTAAAATGTGGTCTTGTTTGTTCCAATAAACTGCCCTAGGATGGTGGCTGTACTTCAAAAGATAATGTAACCCTGTTAAATAAGACATCAGTGGGCCAGGACAGCAGGAAAGTAGGCAAAGCAATGAAACTCTAACAGCCTCTGATTAAGTACATGATGCTCCTCGTTTACTCAAGTCAGTTTCCTTCTCCACGAAATAAGGGTAATAATAACCACCTTCCAGTGTTGTGAGGATTAAATGAGTTGTTTACATCAGTTTTAGGACGGAATCTGACACATATTCAGTGGTTTCAATTCAGTTTCCCCAGGAACAGACCTAGCCATAAGGAGTCAGCTGCAAATCACTCATTAAAGAGTAAGGGAGTCAGGGAGCAGGGTGGGGAGGGGGCGACGGAAGCAGGGCTGCAATTTTAGGTATTGTACCATGGAGCAAGCTTCAGGAGGAACTCTGGAGTACAAGTTATGCCTAGGAAGTATTCCCCACTCAGGCAAAGGTGCTGGGCTTTCATAACCCCATGCCAACTATTGGCTGAGGGCTCCTGGGGGCAATGATGGAATGTAGGAGCTTCCTATTCTCTGTATCAAAAGGCAAGGCAGTTCCAGTAGCCTGAGGGCAGTCCTCTGAAGAGCTACAGGTGCTGGCCAAGGAAAGCAAAGGCACACTGAAGCCAGGTGGGGAGAGCACAGGATGATAAAAGGGGTCCAGGGACCCAGGGCATTAACAGTATCTCCTGTAATAAGCACTTGATAAATATCTGTTTAGATCCCCTACTCACCATGCTAAGCTGCAGGATACATAGCCGATTAAAAACAGCCTTTATAGACGTGGCTGTTAAACCAAACAATGTTCACAGCAAAGTGAATCTGATATAGTCAATGACATGCACGATCATTGTGTGTGATATTTTGCATAAATATGTAAAATATAAAGAATAATTATACACATAAACATTATTCTGGCAAAACGCAGTTTTGTTTTGCTCCTTCGATGGTTCATGACAAACACACATATCCAATACCACTATATACTATTTTAAAACTTTCCTACACAAGCTGCCACCCTACACAACCCTTATACAAAGATGTTTCTCTTGGTGTTTCCCCACACCGCCCAAACATGCAGTCTTTGCTTCACTCCTCATCACCACCATCAATCAAAAGATCTTGGATAGCTCCTCCTCCCCCAAATGTTCTAGAATCTTCTGGATGCTGGGAAAGTCCATTCTTCTAACAACCGTATTTATGCAGATTTAAAGCCATTGTGTGCTGATAGAGCAATGATAGCAATAATCATGGCTAATCTGTTATTATGTCAGCCATGTGCCCCTCACTTCAGATGCATTATCACACAATAATGCTCACAAACATTGTATGGGGTAGGTACTTTTAAAATCCCTACTTCACAGATAAGAAAACTGAAACCTGCCCGGGAATAATGCGACCCTATGCAATACTACGCCAGAGCCCAACCACATACCCACTACATCTGCTTCATTTTCACGGAAATTTGAGCATGTGATGGAAATAGGGATCTGAAACAGCATAGGTGTGTAGAAGGCAGCCCCCATGCCAGTTGACTCGGGCTCTTCTAAAGAACTTGCAGATACGTAGTGTGCTGGGATTGGGCAGAGGGGCTCATAACATCCCTCTTCCTCTCTTAAACTTGGATCTAAAGGAGATAT